CTAATTTGAAATTAATAGAATGCAAGGATATGACTCATACACGTGACTTAGGAATATGGATTCGGAAATGAATAGAGTACATCAAAGTATTCTTTATTTAATTGAATCAGTTGTATCACTAATTTTAAATATTTATGCAAATTAAAATTTATTATTCTACAAATAAATTGTATGTTTTTCGTGTTCTAGTTCGTTATGTTATTCTATCCTGCCTTCCACTGAACTCCTAATTAATTTGTTATAAATTGTATTATCGCTCTGTCAATTATAATTATTTTGTTAAAACTTACTATATTTATATTATAAACTTATATGTAAATAAAAAATATATTATCAAATATGATCTACTCTCACACACTTTCACACGTTTTTAACTGCTGTTTGATTCATATATATATCTCCAAAAAAGAAACCACTCGGCTTTATTATATTATCCTTTAAGTTGTACATAAAGTATCGATTCTGAACTCTGTCGTCATGCGAAACACATTGAATAAGTTATATATATACGTTTTTTTTTTAAGAGAATTCTTTACTCGAACAAAGGAATTCGACCTACAACACAGTTTTTAATGAAAAATAGATACTAATCTATAAAATTATTTTTAGATCCCAACCTAACAGCTCTAGTTAGAAATAGCTAAACTATATTTTATTATTCAAATGGCCAAAATTTTAAAGATATGGTGAAACGACTATTCTGGTATATCTAGTTGAAACTAAATAATTATGTATCTTATGTTAATGAAACATTTGAAGACATTAAATCTATAATAGCTTTACCTACTACCTAAAACCTTAAATACTTAGATAAAAGAATACTTGTCTTTGAATTCGGTCTCGGCTAATTTGCCTAACAGGGCAATTGGTTATTAGACATATCTGTAACTGATATAGAGTTTAGGAATTGATGGAACAACAAATAATTATTTCGGATATGAAATTTATAAGCCACCTGAGCGGGACGACGGATTGACTGACGAGAGACTGAGTACTGACTTATTCATTATTGTGCTCTTCGGGGAGGCGTTGGACTCGAAGTTTAAACGGAAGATACCGTACTACTACTCGTTTGTTGTAAAGGGTTCCTCTTGCAGTCTAGCACGGTTTATAATATACAGTCTGGAGAAAGAAAGGGTAAACAGATGGACAGCGGAGACTTGGTATTAGAGCTCCTGTAAGAGAAAATAAAAAAATATGAATTATAATAAGTCATAGGAATACATTTTTCTTTGTCTATTTGAGCGTTATTTAAAGATTGTATACTTAAGGCTTCAAATGAAACTATAAACATGTAGAGCGACGACGACGACGCTCTTGATTTGACAAGAGGGAGTTTCTGATTCTCTTCTGGTTAATAGCCCCGTCTTTCTCCTTCTCACACCTGGCACATTCACAGCAGTTAAGGCACAAACTATACGTTCTACTCATATAACTCTAGGAGATACTTTCTTGCTGGCGTAACGCACGCTGAATTTTGAGGGACAGGGTGACACTGGCCATCGTTTCTCAGAAAAGTACATTTTAAACCAGTCAAATTCAATATTGATTTCGAATTGGCATAAATGATTGCAGTTATTTTTATACAATATTCTGATTTATTACCATACGAGTGTAATTAAATATAATTAGAAGTATATGAAAATAAAATAGTTACATATTTAAAATGTGATTTTTTTTGTATATTATGTTGAAAATCTTATTTTTTGTCTGAGAAAAATACTTCATGTCCTATACTCTAATACCTCTACTCAGTAATTGAGATTCAAAGTGCACGTGAGAACACGAGAGCACGTGTGTAAATAGATATTCAAATAATATACTAAATAAAAGTAACAAAAGGAAACAAAATATAATTTAAAAAATCCATTTGCATGTTGCAGTCGCATGAGATAAATTATTATTAAAATGTGCTTTTCCATATTATTTTAGCACAATTACCCACAAATATGTAGGATTAGGCGATTTGAAAGATAGATAGATGTAAGATAAAAAGCGTAGAAAAGATGATTATTAAATTGAAGATCAATTAATGTCTTGAAGGTTCACAATAAGATAGGAAATAATATATATGAGACCAGTTTATTTGGCGCACAATCCTTACTTACTTATCACTTATTTACATTCGTATTTACATTGTAAATTTAAATTTAATTGTTTTGTTTTTGTTTGTCAGCTGAATGCCTTTTTAACTCAATTCTTAAGAACAAGGAATAACAACAAACCACAACAATGTAATATAATCATTTATTTTGTTATTTATTGTTGAATTGTGGTCGATACTTAATCAAGTTTAAGTATTAGGTACCATCTTCTTTACCTGCGTATTTTGTAGAATATGTCACTAGCATTTTTTTATTTTATATTTTTTTTACAGTAGGTAACGTTTCAAACGATATTAACTTTTTTTATTTCTTTATCTAATATTTTCCAATACAACACACTAAGAAATAATTTGGGGCGTATATTGGATTTGTTTTTGTCTAATGTTGAATGTGAGTCTAAAACGTGTACGCCATTACTACCGCTTGATGCTTACCATCCACCTTTCTCGATAGCAACATCATTTATTACGAAATTTACACCAATGAAACGTAACTCATCTATGAGACATAATTTTTTTAAAGCGAATTATGAATTAATTAATGACGAGTTAAGCATGTTAGACTGGAATCAATTGCTTTGCGACCTTTCTGCTGAACAATCGGTTAACGCATTTTACGATAAAATTTATAGTATCATTAAAAGGCATATCCCGCTGTCTCGTATCAGGAACTCTGATTTTCCCTTGTGGTTCTCACCTTCCCTCATTCGTATTTTCAAATCCAAAGAAAAAGCTTGGTTGAAATGGAAAACGTACGGTAATGCATCGGATTATGTAAGTTTTTCTACTCACCGTAAACGTTTTAAATTTGAATGTGACAATTGCTTTAAAAAATACATGAAATCAGTCGAAGATAGTATACCGCTTAGCATTAAACATTTTTGGACATACGTTTCACATAGGAAGGGCGGGGCGGAGATTCCAGCTAACATGTTTCTTGAAAATCTTAACTCAAATGATCCAACCGAAATATGTAACATGTTTTCCACCTTTTTCACCTCCGTTTATGAACCTACTAATTTGAACCCTGCGATGTGGCAGCCACCGAGCATATATGCAAATAATTCGCCCTATATCTCTGAAATCTATTTACCGGTAAATGTTATACATAATGCAATAAAACAATTAGAGCTAAATAAAGGTGCTGGTCCCGATGGCTTGCCACCCGTCTTCATAAAGAAAACCGGAGAAAACATTGTACTGCCACTTCATATTATATTTAATAAATGTTTACGAGGAGGCTTTTTTCCCGATATTTGGAAACGGGCACATATCACACCAGTTTTTAAGAGTGGCGATAAAAATAATATACAAAATTATCGTCCTATCTCTATACTATCCACCTTGTCTAAGCTTTTTGAGAGTCTTGTACATAGTGAAGTGTACTCTCATGTTCATAATCTCATTATTAGTGAGCAGCATGGATTTGTCAAACGACGTTCGACGAATACTAATCTCATGCTATTCACAGACTTTATATTTAAAAATATGGATGCGCAAGTTCAAGTGGACGCTGTGTACACAGATTTTCGGAAGGCGTTTGACAGGGTGGACCATAAACTGCTTTTAGATAAAATAGCATATAATGGTATCCGTGGCAATTTGTTACGATGGTTCATGGCTTTTATATTTAACAGATCCCAAAAGGTAGTAATCAATGGTTTCCAATCAAACTCAGTTATTGTCACCTCCGGAGTGCCCCAGGGCTCAATAATGGGTCCCCTACTCTTTACCCTGTTTATTAATGACATTAAGAAATGCTTCATTCACTCCCAATTTCTTATGTACGCCGACGACGTTAAGATTTATAAGTCTTGCAAGAGCACTCAAGACTGCCTACTTCTACAGGAAGACCTCGATAGGCTATCCCTTTATTGTTCTTCCAACAAACTTCAGCTTAGCTTACCTAAGTGTAACGCAATCACTTTCACAAAAAACAGAAACATTATACAATTTGATTATAGTCTCAATTGTACCCATCTACAAAGAGTTGATCACATTCGAGATCTTGGGGTTGTGATGGACTCGAAATTGCATTTCAATCTCCATGTTGATAACATTGTTAACAAAGCGTATCGTATGTTTGGTTTCGTTATGCGATCCTCAAGCGACTTTAAAAGACCATCTACGTTTCTACTGCTATACAAAGCTTTGGTTCGCTCTCAATTAGAATTTGCAGTCCCGATTTGGAGTCCTATCTTTGATGTTTATATAAAAAGAATTGAAATGGTTCAAAAAAAATATTTACGCGTTATGCACTACAAATGCACCAAGTCGAAATTACCATACACTCAATTATTAAAACGTTACAAGATTCAGAGCCTGGAGTCAAGACGCAGCCTACTTATGGCCATGATGCTTCATGGTTTGTGTAATAACAGATTCGATTGTCCAGATATTACTAATAGCATATGTTACATTGTACCTAGAACTGTGATGGGCCGAGGGGCGCGCGTGCCTCGGCTGTTCCACACCGCCAGGTGCAGAACCCACGCTGGCGCACGGGCGCCTCTTCGACGCATCGTAGATACGTATAACACACACTTCATCGAATTAGATATCTTTGCACTTACGCACTCTAAGTTCAAAAGGATGGCTATTGAATCCTTAAAGTAGTTATCTAACTCTTATTACCTCAAATAACACACGAGTAATTCCCTACTAAATTTCCTGTATGATTAACGCACGCGTTTAATAATTTTTTAAGCTATTATTTCGCGGACATTGGTGTGGGTTACACGTTTACTTAGTTTTAAATATATTGTGTCATACTTTATTGTAATGTGTAACTGTTTTATGTCCCAATAAAGTAAAATAAAAAAAAAACTTAGAAATTGGTGAATGCGGATATCTAGTATTAAAATTGTTATTTATCTCAAATTTTCTTTGGTTTCAGGACCACGGAAGGTGGTTGTTAAAGGCGTCGATGGAAGGTTCATGTCAGGCCAATTGGTGGCAATCATGGGACCATCAGGTGCCGGCAAGAGCTCACTCCTCAACGCTCTATCTGGATATAGGTATTTTATGAACAAAACACTAATATCAGGGAGTCATTGATTTTATGCATTAGTGGTGTTTCCATGACGAGTCTATTATAGATATGAATATTTACTATTGGCCAAAGCTATATTGAAGTTTTCTTTAAAAAGTCTAGTAGGCACATCTATTTATAACATTAACCCACGAAATAGTTATTAAAAGCAATGTGTATAACAATAAATACTAAGCATACTGAATTTTTACGATCCATCAACATTCTAATTCGATCAATTCAATTTAGTATTAAGAGAGTAAAAAAAAATGACTTAAAATGTGATTCTAAGTCTGGTTGGTATCTAGAGAAGACGGAAAGAGAGAAGCACAATTGGCCAAGGTATTTGTGTTCGTGAATAACAACCATGGCACCAAAACTCTTAGAAGAATGAAGATAGTCAGAAATAAATTCGCGGGCTTAAAACTTTATCTATAAAAGAGCCATTCCTCACAAGAGTGAGTAGCACTTTTAAATCAGCACCTTTGTAAGCAAATTTTTGTGTAATACACAGGTCCGCAGGTGTAACAGGTGAACTTCTGGTAAATGGGCAACCAAGAGACGAGCAGCATTTCCAAAGGTCATCGTGCTACATCACCCAGGAGGACCTTCTCCAGCCACTGCTGACTGTGCGGGAAGCTATGGACGTTGCAGCGAGGCTGAAGGCACCCAAAGGCGCCAAGTCACCTTCAGAGGAAATCCTACAAGAAATGGGACTGCTGGAACACCAGCATACGAGAACAGATATGTTATCTGGAGGACAGAAGAAGAGGTTGGTTTATTTCTAAAATGGCGTCGTATATAAATCATCTTTCTTCAGATTATTATAGTTTTTAGAGACGACATTCTCCTGGTAAATATTTGTCAAAAAATATAATAGGTGTATAGGCACACAACACGCTATTAAATATACTTAGACAATTGAAACTGCGGTGAATTTGTTTCTTGGAAGTAAGCAGTTGGGTAGGTCTATTGGGGGACCAGGTGTTTTAAAAAAGCCGAGGGTGACCACTTAAGTATTTTCTAGTGAAGTAGGAATTACACACACCCTGGGTTTTCTCCCCAAACAAATGTTTCCTCCAAAACAAAAAACGACTTCATTGGACATTAGAAGGGCAGGAGCCTCTCCTGAACCATTCGTATCTTTTTTTATGTAATAGGTCGGCAAACGAGCAGACAGATTACCTGATGGTAAGTAATCAGCGCCGTCCATGGACACCCGCAAAGAAGGAGTTACGAGTGCGTTGCCGACCTTTTAGGGATTAGGAGGGATTGGGGGTGGGGAAGGATTGGGCCTCCGGTAACCTCACTCACACGGCGAAAAACAACGCTGTGGTTATTTCACGCCGGTTTTCTGTGAGGCTGTGATATCACTCCGGTCGAGCCGACCCATTCGTGCCGAAGCATGGCTCTCCCACACTTAAATCTATGTATCTATGGAAGAATAATGTCAACAGGCTAATTCACTTTAAATTCCATTGCTTCAATTCCTTACTTATCTTTTATCTCCTCATATAATTCATTATTTCTTTACGCCACTTTACTAATCTGTATCTACACTACCTTACACAATTTCACCTTTTCGTATTGGGTAAGCTTACCAAAGAAATCGATTAGTAGCCTTGACAATATTGCATTGCAAGCGTTCTTGGGAATAACATTTGTTAATATTGTGGTAAGAAAAGTTCCCACAATACGCTACTGTGGCCACAGAATTATAATAAAAACTGTGAAATATTATGCTTTGTTTAACTTACACATGCGTTATAAGGTTGTTGTCTCTAGATTCGTCGTATCGATTTGTCTTACCATAGCCATTTTAAATGTGATATTATACTTCATTATTTTCATAGGAACCTCTTACTTAATTCTGAATACATTTGTGTAATAGCAAAATAATAGGTTACCTATGAAATTGCCGTTTTGCATGAAAAAATTTAAACGAATTTTTTGATTTGAAATGCGATGAAAATGTAACACTAATCAATAAACAACTGACTACTTTTGGAAAAATAATCTCATGCTTTTAAAACAAAATTAATTTGCCTTAGCCTAACAAAAACTATTTTGATTTGAAATGGCCAGCACTGCAGAACGGCAATTTCATAGGTAAAGTCCTATTAGTAAGACTCGAATAAAATCGAGTTTAGTGATACTTTTATAAGATAACAATACGTTTTCCTCAGTTTACTTCCTTTTCATTTGATTGTGCATCGCGTGACCCAAAGGTCAACAACCGAAACTGTCAGTAAAAGTACTGGCTATTGATCAATGACATTTTTTTCATTTACCTTATCTTTATCCTTAATTCTTTTGAAACGGAACTCTATAACCTTATGTTAGGTTTCCTTTTTCCTTAAAGTTTTCTTAGTTACATTAAAGACAAGTTCCATTATAATGAAATTTATAACTACGCTTGAAGTGTTATAATTATAGCCCCTTAAGCTCAGTACCCTACAATTACATATAGATACATCGCCACGTAATATTTTAGACTTATGATTACTATGAATCATTGTGGTTTCTTTTGCATAAAACATAGAATGATGATTGCATAGAAACAGTAAGAATGATGAAGCTGGTTGATGATAAAGGGATTTTAGTTGTAGTAGCCTTGTAACTTTGTTAAATACGAAAACTTCGAAGCTACATAGAAGTCTTTACTAGTGCTTTACTGAGTATACTAAGTTAGGGATTGACTGGGAGCTTTTTGCTGTTTTTAATCTAACGGCCAAAATTATTAATGATTCTTAATTCAAAATCTTGTAGTGTAAGAATGAAGTTTCTATCAAAACAGAAATAGATTTTGCATTAAGATTTGTTATTTATTTCGGCGTTAGTGAATAGAATTTTCTCGACTTGACAACTAATTTGCCACTTTATTCTCATCCGAATATCTCATTTTTACTTATTCTTCTTCAGGTTATCAATAGCGCTGGAGTTAGTGAACAATCCACCAATATTCTTCCTTGATGAGCCAACTAGTGGACTGGACACCGTCACGACCTATCAGTGTGTGAAGGTCCTGAAGTTATTGGCAAGACAAGGCAGGACTGTGGTGTGCACCATACATCAGCCGGCCGCGTCGCTCTTAGAGATGTTTGACCAGGTGAGTGAACATATTTTTTTTATGGTATAGGTCTGCGAACGTTCAGACGGATTACCTAATTGTAAGCAATAAACGCCGCCCATAGACACCCGCGACACCAAGGAGGAGTCGCGAGTGCGTTTCCGGCCTTTTAGGGATAAAGGTTTCTGATATTTAAGATCCGGGTAGGGATTGGGCATCCGGTAACCCCAGTCGAACGGCGAAACACAGCGCTGTGGTTGTTTCACGCCGGTTTTCTGTGAGACCGTGGTATCACTCCGGTCGAGCCGAGCCATTCGCGCCAAAGCTTGGCTCTCCCACATTTTAGATATCGAAATATCCTTTCATGATTATTGCTGTTTATGTATGAACTTATAGGAAAATAGCGTGAGGCCTTCGAATTTCGTCGGAGTTGCGGGCCTCGGCCTCGGCCTAAAGCAGGAGTAGGAACGGGGGGTTTTTGTCAGTAGAAGTCTGACACTCCCTTCCGCCTCACCCTGGGTGGGACAAGTCATTTGATGATTTTCCCCTAAAAAAAGGCATTCGAATTTCAAATTGTGTTTGGTTAAGGCGTTAAAGAACATCCCTAAAATATACACACAATCGCCAAAAAATGTTAACCCTAACAAAATTATTTATGGACAAGTCACGTTTTGATTTTAATAAATAGGTAGATGGTTCAATGTCTTAATATTTGTTTTAAGCTTATTAATATACGACTAGGTATAATTAAGACCATCTTTATGGTCTATCAGAACTTGTTCCTAGTCACGTGAAACTTGATAAACATAAAGAAATTCCATTTCATTTTCTGTGTTAGTTTTCGACATAAAATACGACTCGCCTCGACTTCGCACGGGTGCAATGATCATGCTAAAGTTCTCCACTATTTAATGACTGTTACTGATCCAGTGCTTCTCCTCCTCCTCCTCGCGTCGGTTTCCTCAGTGCTGAGGGTCGTGACCACCTCGTGGAAGCAGTGTACTGCGTATTACTCTCCGCCATCTATTTCTATCTGCCGCCGAGTGGAGAGCATCGTGTATTGTAGTGTTGAGAGTGGTGCGAATCTGATCCGTCCAGCGTATCGGACTTCTGCCTCTAGGTCTCTTTCCTTCATGATCCACTGCTTCATGCATATAAAATTTTCTCTTCATCACACTATTTATTAAAAACTCTGCGTAATATTTGTAAGGTTTAGTTTTTCACAAAGTTATGCGGTTGAAAGCCGTCTCGTTTCCGCCGCGTTGCAGCTACGGCCTTATGTTACTACCTTCCTATTAAATAAATTACCCAAAAAATCTCATTAGTTTGGATATATTCAGACATGGAATTGCTAAACGAGAGAAGACTAGGCACAATTTTTTTCTGACATTAATTAATTTTTATCTGCATTTAAAAAGTAATTACTCACAGTTACAACCATTATTCTATTTTTGAATACAACAAAAACTTTTTGGATTTGGATGTAATGAAATTTTCTTACTTAGTTTTTTTTTATGTTTTTTATCACTTGGTGAGTGAATGCTCTACATATGTACGATGTTATTAGTAACTGGTTTAGACTGGAATTTATTTATTTGTATTTTATCGATATTTTAATTTGGTATTTTTAATTTGCTAAAAAAACTAAACATTAAATAAATAATTATCTGGTTTGAACCAGTTTATAAACCGCAGCGTTCCTAAAACAACCAGGTAATATTTAAGTAGTTACCTACTTTAAGTATATTATAAAAATGACGTTTTCGTCTATTTTTTTTTCTTCGGACATGAATTATGGGTTTTGATACATACCTACCTACCTAAAGTGTGTTTGGCAATAACAGCAACAGGTGTTTAAAATTTTTGTTATTTATGTATTATGCTAAGTTTTACATGTTTTTTGAACCTCGATGTTATTGTGTCTGTATGTCAGGGACCTGGTCGTTGTACTCAACCTTGAATTTGGCATAGTTGTAAGTAGTTTGGTTTTGTTGCCAAATGACTCGTCCGAAAAATTAAGCAAAAGTATGTAAATAAGGTTTAATTTACATCAATTTTTAAACTTATTAAATAATATGAAATAGGGATGATGGTAGGCTATAAAAATAAAGATATAATTAGTCAGACAATGGTCAAGACAAAAGTCAATGCAAGCGTTGTATGCGTTGCATCACGCCTCTTTTCGATAAGGCCGTAGGCTGCCAAACCATGGCTATGGCCACGGCATGGCTCACAAGCAAAATGTGAAATCGTTGCTTCCATGGACCAGTAAGTACCTACTAACAAATGCAAATTTTATTAATACCTCTTAATAAAAAGCTGGACATTGTCGTTAGTTTTTTATAAGTCAACCATTAATAAAATCACTCAAGTCCACTGATAGCCAATGTAAAATGTATGATAAGTGGCATACCTGTATCCTGTATGTAATCTACGTAGTATACATAACTACAGGTGTGGGCGGTCCAGCTTCAAGTGTTTGGTTCAGTTATGGTGGATCCATGTTTACTTATATTATTAAGAGATCGTGGGGAAAATTGCTTAAATGTTATCGTACTATGGATGTACTTCTTTGTTATTCTTTCACTCAAAAACGGCTAGATGTAGATGTAGGTAGGTTGAATTAGACACTGGATTAACACATAGGCTATACTTTTTAACACACCACGTGAGCGCAGCGGTAGATGGTCAATTATAAAAATAAATTTTCATTTCAACTAAAAACAGATTTCTAATCCTGTGACTTAGCAGACTAGTCTTAAAGTTTGAAACTTAGAACACACCCCAACTATATTATGAGCAATAACCATTTTTGTTGAAACACTTTTTTTGCAAACTAATTAAATGATCTCGGTGAATGTCAATGAAAGAAGACCATATAGCTTAGCCAATAGACTCCAGTTAGGGCCCAACATGGCCAAGGGTTAAGCGCAATAAGGTACCGCGGCTTCGGCTTGGAGCAGGAGAAGTAACGGGGGCTTTTTAGTCAGTAAGAGTCTGACACTCTCTCTCGACATACTCTGGGTGAGAGAAGTCATTTGATGATTTTCCCTTTACAAAAAGCTAAATTTTAGGCTTCTTAGGATTTAGGTTCTTGAGTAAGTAAGGCAATTTTTAAATAAGTTGTTGCTAATGATGTAGTCCTATATAACCCTAAAAATTAATAATAAAATTTAGTGCTACAGTTTTATAAAGGAATCATAACCAAGCCGTCATACTTTCAATAATAACCTACATCAAGAACAAATGAGAATATTATTGAAATGAAGAAGTAAAATAACACAATAATATGTATATTAATAACGTATAATCACAATTATTATTAAATTAATGGATGCGTCCACACCTCTAATCGTGACTTTGTGCGATACATAAGTTTCTATGCACACAATGTTATTGTTACCAGGAATCAACTTATTCAAGTATTATAAAGTACCTACTAGAGGAATATTATAATAAGAACAGCGTTGTTTTTATACTTAGTAACGTATAGTCGATATTCTCGGAAAAGACTATTGTTTTAGTATCGATATGAATAATTTAATTGAGAACTTAATTTCGCTGCCTATGTTAGAGACTATAAAAGGAAAATATTTTGAAAAATCCAGGGGTATAATGTGTCAGTGTCAGTGTGACATAAAGTACCTTCAAGAAAATGCAACTTATTTTGTGACCAATATTTTATGACCACCATATTCACCATTCATACGGTGGTAGTCTATACGATGTGATGGTCCGATCCCTCACTCGCCTAATGATATTGGTACTACTATCTAAAATATTAGATAATACCTAAATATGATCGATTAGGTACTCAGCTTCTCTGAAGTTCAGAATTGTACAAGCATTTAGTGTAAAAACTGTCCAGAGAAGATAGTACTTACAAATTAAAAATTGCTTTACTGTAACGTGAACTAGACGTTACCGTGTTTAGCACTCTGATTGGTTGCTTAACTTGGAGTAGACCAATCAGAGCGGCGAACGTCATAAGTTGTCGATCGCCTTTACGTAAAGCAAACTCGCACTTAATACTCAGCTTCACCTTCAGTAGCATCATTCAACTACTGTAAGAATAAAAGCAAGCCGTTATTAAAATAAATGTTAAAAATACTTTAATTCATTGTTTTATTAGGACAGGAGCCGCCAGCTTCGTGACAATTGTGAGCGATTGCGTGCAATTCTTAATGTTCTATTATAGTAGCATCGTTATTATTTACATAATTATTTCAATTACCATTGTTGCATTGGTTACCACGCTCCGTGGTTTATGGAACCATTTTGGTTTTAGTAGGTCTATGTTATGCCTGTCCTCAATTTGGGATAACCTAAATATTAATAAGCTGGTAGATATTTAAGCTAAGATAACATTATAAGTATTAAAAATTTAGATTTATATATTTATTATAACAATTGTACTAACTATTTTGAGTCATACAAAATTTATTAAAAATAAGAGTACTGCTTACGTAGTAACTATTCAGTAATCTGTGGTACTGGTCTTCTAGTTTGAAGTCGCAACGGGACTTTTATTCATGGACAGCGTGCGCATAAGCACACGTCGTTATTTTCAATAATTATTTTATAAGTAACTAGCGGCCCGCCCCCGCTTCGCACGGGTCCAAATATCTCGCTTTCAAAGGGTCACTTTTTCCTAATCTTCCCTTCTACTTTTCTAATATTTTCTTTGATAAGAACCTTCTGCTGACAATAACAAACACAACAAAAAAAGAATAAGCAAAATTGATCGCTTCACACTTTAATAAAAATTGCCACCTTTCACCTTACACGTGCAGAGATTTCAATCAACACTATTCATTGATCTATAGATTTCTCCAAATTTTTTTGCGTGTCTCCATAAATGTTCAATTCTTTAAATTAACATTTTCCTCAATCATGGTAAGATCTGTAGCAGAATTTGATTAAGATTTTACAGTGTTAAGGGATAAAATTATTTCTTCTGCTCCTAACCGGGACTAACAACATTTATCATGTATTAGATATATTTACACATAAACTATAAGGTATAACTTGATTCAGGCAGAACTATAGACTTCAAACGGTGCCGTTTAGTAACTAAACAAAAATAATTAATTCACATACATAATATGTCCGACACTATCACGCGACATGCCGAAAATTGACGTCAATTTCTGTTTGGAAGAAAAACAAATTGCTCATTTAATACATTGTTGTGGTTTATTTCCGTTTTTATTCCACGTGTGCAGTGTACACTGAGGTCACAGCTGTAAAGTTACGGTCAAACTGGGATTCATTAATATCTTTATAGACACTGCATTTAATTTCATTCACAATTACAATGTCAAATAGGTCCAAAAAGTAAGTGATTTACATCGAATGAATAAAATTAGACGAATAGAAAAATTTTGACACATATTTTTTATTATTTTCGTAGTTAAAACATAAATTTTAATGATGGATCGCTACGTCACTACTCAGTATAAAAAATGTACCTGATCATGACGTCACACTATATTTTAAATTATTACATCGTTGACAGTATGAATTAATTCCACAAGGAAAAAACTAAAAGTCTGACATAAAAATAAATATTACTTATCATTCGTATCACCTACATCTACTGTTTTAAACTTTAAACATCTTTGACAGCTTTATCATTCTGTTAGGCAAAGGTACCTATTTATTAAGGTTAAATAAAACTACAGGTTTCTAGGAAACCTGAAAAGATCATAATCTGATTTCATGTCAAGCGGTTCACCTACGCGTAGTTACTTCATTATTACACAGTGCAGTAAAAACAGTAATTTAAACAAAGCTAAAGTCTAAAGGTGCAACCTACATTATACAGAATTTTGTAATCAGTCTATTTTTAGTATAATTTTGACAACTCAATGATACGACATCAATTACCATACCTATATATGCGTTATGTATATGCACTTTCTTTCATTATGACGTCAATCCTTGCGTTCTCAGAAACTTATATACTTTTGTTTGTTTTTTAACATTCCCAGTTGACGTCAACGTTTTCGTTTTCAGGTGTACGTAATCGCTGACGGGTACTGCATATACCAGGGCGATACAGCTGCTATGGTACCTTTTCTACAAACCTGCGGGCTACCCTGCCCAAGGCATCATAACCCTGCTGACTTTAGTAAGTATTTCTATTTATCAAACATGCACTGAAACGAGTACCTACTTGATTTTACAGAATATTCTTGAGAAAGGTTATTAGGTACTATGGATAGTAGCTAATTAATAAGATAAATGACAAATTTAGGAGAAGTGCTACGTATATTTGACTGTACGATTAGCGTAGTGGCTGGACAATTGGCTGTTGTGCAAAGTGTGCAACGAGTCGCGGGTTCGATTCTCGCACGGAATAGCACTTTGTGTGATTCACAAATTGTTGTTTCGGGTCTAAACGCACACTCGATATAGGAGAAAAGTCTACGTTTTTTTATATAAAGAAATAAAAGGAAGAAATACCTCTGTTTAAAATGTATCTACATATAGGTACTTGTGTGTGGTGCAATATAACTTTAGAATTATTCTAGATTTTTATTATTGGCAGCACGTAGGTTATTTACTCCTATTACTTACCTACGTCAATGGTTAGATTTTCCTACTTGCTTCGTAAGCAAGAGGAACCGCAAATACCAGCCAGTAATTATTATTATATTGAGTCGGTCTGGTCTGGTAATCGATGCTTTAAGGTTGAGACAATGGTAGGTCGGTAATTTATTTGCTTGCATTTTATTTTCGGGCGTAAAATATATATCTCCCTATGTTTTGTAGCTTGAGGTATCTACCTAGTTGGTTAACGATCCTAGAATCCGAATTTGTTAAAAGGCAACCGCGAGATAAAGTTACTATAAAACTGTAACCTTCTTATTATGAAACAAGATTTATATTTAGTCTTGGTTTAAACTATTGAGTCAGGTTTTGAATTTTGAACCTTATTCTCACCTACTTTCAATTCGAAATATAAATACAGGATCAATGGTCTTTGTCATGGAGACCTACACTAAAGAAAAACCTTGTATTGTACCTATCAATCTTGTTTTTGTTAAGGCTGAAAGTTTCGTTTTTTAATAAAACCTTTTTCATTAGTCGGCTTTGTATCCAACCACTTCTGTTAGTAAATCGAACTTTTCTGTAAACGGTTTTGTAAATCGAACTGTAGGTATTTTGTTTTTAATTGCCTACCAGATGAATCGGATGACTGGATTCATCTATGTTAAAACAATGCACAGGAACGTAATTACTCACTGGACTATGCTGACGCAATCAGACTTCTATTTATCAGCGTTCCTATTCTAGGTTGTAATTAACAATGCAATAAGTTACCGTCCGATGACTGGAAAACAATAGGAATGTACTTTATTGAGATAGGTAGAAGTTAAAGGCTAGAAATACATAGTTACATTGACTATAAGATGTCTGACATTAAGGTTGAAAATCACTTGCGAATTACTGACATAAAAAGGTTTGCTTTTGAGTTTCGTTTTCATAGCAAATACAATACCTAACTAGAAGACTATGACTAAACTTTAGAATTAATGTTAGTTTTCCGTCCACAATTTCAACTGTAGAGGATTTACAGTAGCCAGCCAGCCCCCTAAAAATTGTAGGTACTTACAATAAAACCGCTTTGTTGTGATTGTAACTTAACAGATCGGACATAAATATTTATTGCATCACCGCCCAACAGTTCAATAGTCTACCTAGTAAAAGCAACTGTGAACTAGGCAACTACATAAGTAATCTGCAAGGGAAAAGAGCGGGTACTGCAAACAAAACAAAGCCCAAGACATTTGTAATTCAAATAACTGCTTAATTACGTAAAGTGCTACAGGAATTTTAAACAAGCCATTGTAGTATTGTGCCTATTTAACTCACGTGGGTAGTTATGTATTGATTTGGCTCAGCTGTTACTATCGAGTATCGAGACTTAATTTTTCTTTTCAATTTCATTTAGGTTCCTATTTAGTTAATTATTTTTCCGAGAAATATGTGGGTTAACGTGTTGATGTTATTGTCTGCTACTATACCTAACGATAAAGTTACTGAATGTACTGCTCGTTGAACGATCGCCAATGCAAGTGCTCAAAAATGAATTTCCGACATTTGTATCCCAAAACAGTCGTTATAATGTTTTGTCCTTTCATTCATTAGTTTCATTTATTTTTCCAGTAATAGAAATAACAGAAACACCAGAATACATAACCTTACTATCCAAAGAGATAATGAATGGGAAACTGTTCAAATCAGCGAAGTTGGATCAACCACCGATCGAGACAAACGCCAACCAAATGCAGCTCAAAATCAGCTACCAAACTGACGATGCAAACGAAACCGAGATAATCCTATCGAATGAAAAATGCACTTACAAAGTAACGAAGTACGACGGGTCCAGTGCCTCCGTAAGCTCGTCGTCCAGTCAGCTTTCTAATGGAAACTCTTCAATGGCTTGGATGAAGATGCAAAAGTCAGACACAATGGAATTCTCCACAACATACTGCGAACAATTCTGCATATTATTGAAGAGGATGCTGACGCAAATATTTAGGAATAAGCAAGGTAAGGATAACTTATATAATGCTTTTCCTTTTAATTGCCATTCCTGAAAGAATAACGAAGAATACGCATTTTACTTAATGCTGTTTAGATGAAACGCAAATCGATTAGAACTATAGACTTCTTGCAACAGGGCAATAACTAACAAAGCGTCCTTATTGGATGTCTTAAGCATTTTCCTTTCCATTCAGCGATAAATCATTAATGACCATCATTTCTTTGATCATTAAAAATACGTCAACCCACTTAAAAAAAATCTACCAAAAACCAATTTGCCTTCAGTATTGACTTTTTTATATCTCACACATTACAGGTCTCGGTATCCAGTTCGTTCACCACGTTATGTGTGGCTTGCTGATAGGCACTTGTTTCTTCAATATGGCCAATGATGGCACACAGATGTTCAACCACCTCAAGCTCTGTGTTGGCCTCGTCATATTCTTTGCGTATACGCAGATCATGGTCCCAGTACTTGTATGTAAGTATTATTCTTTAATGTTTATTGAAAACTAGCGACCTTTGCACGGATATGATACTGTTACTAAACTCCACTATTTAATGGATGTTATTATACTTATAAACTTTCATTGTCAATCACTCTATCTATTAAAAAAAATGCAGTGACTAGGTATTTATCAGTTGCTACATTCAAGATGTTTCAAACTTAATCGACTAGACTAGTAACGGTCCCATGCAACATAGGCTAAATTTAATTGCATTTTACATAATTCAGAGTTCGTGCACAACCGTGATCATGCAAATTTTGCCAGGTTACTCATTATATATGGAGACTGGATTTGTCTTCAGTATGTAAATATTTTGCATTTCAACTAGTATTAATTGATCAATTTCAGATCCTCAAGAAGTGAAGCTAGTGAAAAAAGAACATTTCAACTGCTGGTACAGTTTGAACCCTTACTACGCTGCTCTCACGGTCTCGAAGCTTCCCGTCCAAATAACGTTCAACATAATATTCTCAACGATAGTGTACTTCATGGCCGGAGTTCCGTTCACTGTGATGCGATTTTTTGCATTCTGTCTCGTTGGGAATGTCGTGTCTTTGGCTGCTGAAGGCTTCGGCATGGCCATCGGATCTATCTTCAATGTTACGGTGAGTTTTGTAGCTCATTTTATTAAATAATCGGTAATCGGTAATAATCGGTAAATAATCGGTCGGCAACGCACTCGTAACTCCTCCGTTGCGAGTGTCCATGGGCGGCGCTGATTGCTTACCATCAGGTAATCCGTCTGCTCGTTTGCCGACCTATGAAATAATAAAAAAAAAAAAAATCTGGTCCTTAGCTATTTTGATGCAGGAAGAGAGGGTGCCATTCTTCAAAAACGTGTCCATTTTCGTGTCAGTCTTTACAGTTGTCCACTGTGTAAAATTATAGCATTACTAATGAAAAGAAGTGTTGCCCACTAATTTTTTTCCTAAAGAATTTGTTTTTGGACAGGATGCACCAACATTAAGAATCTTTATTTATTCAGGATTTAATTGAGAACTTTCTTAAATTTTCCAGAATGGCTGCGCTATCGGGCCTTCAGCGATCGCTCCGTTCCTTGGTCTCGCTATCTACGGCTTCGACTTCGCCCACGAGATCCCCCTCCTAATGAACATCCTCATGAAGACTTCCTTCATCAGGTGCGGTATTGTGGCCATGGTCCTCACCATCTTCGGTTTCAACCGTCAGCCCTTAGAATGCGAAGATATGTATTGCCATTTCGCTAAGCCTGAGGTTCTTATCAAGTATTTAGATATCGAAAATAGTTCCGTCTGGTATGAGATCCTTACGATGTTTGGTATTATGTTTGTGTTCCGATCTCTATGTTACATGGGCCTCAGGTGGCGATTCGCAACATGATACTATCGTCCAAGCAAACATTGAATTTCTATGAGCTCGATCATAATTGTGATATAAGCATTACACGTTTCTGTTAGTACAAAAATTACTTTTCGACTTTTTGTGATAATTTAAGATTTAAATTATTAAGTTGTAGGTATTTTAATACCATTTTATTTTTTAGTTAGGTACTGATGCTTAATTCATCATGTCCAGCGATTTGTAATTGTAATTTATTTTATTTGTTAGGTAAATTGTAATTTTACATTGGGTATTTGTCTCGAATTCAAATAAATCACTTTCATTTAACTTTCAACTGTGAATAATAGTTATTCTATTTATGATACTAAACTGCGGAAGGGCATTTCGAAGAGAAATACCAGTGTTGTCAATAGAGAAAATTTGTAAAGAAGTACCACATTTTTTATATATTCTTCAATTATTATTTTTAGTGAACATATTCATTCTATTTTCACAATTTTGTCACAAACTCTATAGATATTACGTAGTTATGTATCCAGCCAAAGATACTGTTTACAGATACATTTTTGACTGATATTTCTATAACAATTAGGTGTAACAAGGCAGTGTAGTACTCATTTCTCTTGCCCTTTAATTTTAAGTTATAAGTACTTAGTATAAATTATACTTGTAATGTATACATAGTTGTAAAGCCTCCAAAAGGGTTGTTATGTTGTGATAAAGTTTCTGTTGCCTTATTTGGAAAATGCAATGGTAAATTTATAGGTACGTCCAAATTATCCGCCAATAAAAGATTTTTTGAAAAATTCCCCCTCAGATGGCAGCTCTGTAGCGTCAGGTCCAACAACCCTTAAAACTCATACACAATTAGGATTTTTCAGAACAAATCAGAACAATGACCTTGTGTTGATTTGTTCTTAGAAAAGTTTAAAAACTGAATATTGTTTTCCAAAATGCCACATGAATGCACAGTGCCTAAGTTTGCAAATAAAATACGTTTTTTGAAAGCATTATTTAGTCAGACCACCTTTTTTGAACGTCATCCAACTATTACAATAAAATTAATGACACTTTCAAATACCTATCTTTGGTAAGAATCTATGCTATCTGGGTGCTGTTTGGACCTGACAAAAAGTATCAAAAAGCCTCTTTACATTGTTAAAAACTTAAATAGAGGTGACACATGATTCAAATAAAAAAAAATTAGGACAGTGTTTTAAAGTTTTACAGACTAAAACAATTCTTTTGGAATAAAAATAAAAAGCAAATGTATGTAAATAATAGCAATTTTATGTTGATTATAATGGGACCACTATCAGTGTGATACATAACCATGCAACCCAGTACCATAAATAATGTAATTTGTAATTAGAATTTGGTGTTGGCATTTGAAAATGTAAAGATAGTAGTTATACTTACTTTTATTTATTAAAATGCAAAATAGGTATTAATTATTTTGCATAATTAACATAGCAACTATTGCTGCTAAATGTGAATTAAATATTTGGGAACTATGCCCAAAGTATTGTTTGATAACAATAAAAAAAGATAGAAACTATGACAAATATTAACATAAGTGTATGTTTTAGATTATAAGTTTTACTAGTGACATGAGTTATGTTTTAGCTGATGACTATTCGCTACTTTAAAAAAAGCTTCAAGAGTTAAAAGCGATACTAGGTCTATTAAATTTTGTAAGCACATTTTTCAGTGAATATTTTCAAATTCTATAATCAACCTTTAATTAAGGATTATTACTTAAAAATATTTTGTTTTTGCAGCTCGTTCCTTTAATTATGACTTTAGTGGTGGTAAATTAATTTAATTACTTAAAAACGTAAAATACAGCGATATAAGTATATAGTTTCTTAGACCTTGGTCCAACTTTATTGGGTTAAGATTGGATGTCAGAAGTTCAAGTTCTGTGGCCGAGTGTAACTTGGAAGTTGGTGGCAAACTATTTGGCCAACCTGAGCAATAATTTTACAACATGAAAAAGCTTTTTGGAAAAACTCGTTTATTACAATGTTTGCCTAAGCATTTTAATAGTATTTAGATTGCTCAAACATCATAGATAGTTGTCATATCCAAGTTATACTTGACCACAAAATTATCGCGCAGCACATGTTATTTTATTGCTAAGCGAAAATAAACCCTATTGTCCGATTTAGAAGCTCTTGATTTGGCCCAGTGCAAATATCAAATCTAATTTAGGCAATACGGTTTATTTCATTTAGCAGCTCTCTGCAAGTGACAAATGAAGCCCTACAGTTGAACTAAGAGATATTGTAACAGTGATATTATTTATTTGTAAAGGATTTCATTCGTCAAATGTGAGAAAACTGCTTTTTATACTTTTTTATATGGAATCGAAATAAAATACAAAATTGACAAGTAAATTATCTATTTTATTTTTCCTTTAAAGTATTATTTCATAGTAACTAGGTACATGTTTCCAAGTGTTTTTGGAAAATACAAAAGGACATGAATTAATGAATGAGAGTCACTGATATTTGCTATCAGTGAAAAAAAAAATAACACATAACAAAATTAAGACAACGGACTGAAAATGTGAGTGTTTCTGCTCTAGCTTTAGTGTCCCAAATTAGGTTAGCCTTTGGTTTCATATCCGTTTCATTACTAGTGCGTGCGGTGGCTAGGGAATTGGCTGCCGAGCAACGAGCCGCGGATTCGATTCCCGCACAGACAACTCGTTGTGGGATCTACACAATTTTGTGCCAATACTTGTACTACATAAATGTATGTTTGTAAACGCACCCACAACACAGGACAAATTCCTAATGTTGGGCAACGTTTACTTAAACCTAAATTTAAAAAAATACGTTTGACTGCACGGTTGACGCGGTGGCTGGGACAGACCCGACTGCTGTGTAACGTATTGCCAGTATCGTAGGTCCGATCCCCGCACGGATCAACTATTTCTATTCATAAATAATTGTTGTTTCGGGCTTTCGGGTCTGAGACCTATGGTGGATATGTATATCGACAGAGTAAAATTGCATGTTTGTAAATGCAGACACGATACAGGAGGCAACTAAGTGTGGGCAACATGTTTCAAAAAAATAAACATAGGATACTTACAATAATAACCTATAAAAATATAACAGAATCCAGTGAGTCTGCTCTAACAAATAATAAAATCATAAATTAATATTTCTTAACTTTTTTTTTGTTTTCTTGTATAATTTAATTTTAATAAGTCTGACATAATTTAATTTCTAACTTTTAAGGATATTGTCATTTTTTTATCATTATTAATTTTTATTATCTCTATTTTTTGTTGTGTTTCCGAATTTAATTTAATTTTGTTTCAATTATATTTTAAAAATTTTAATTTGAATTTTAGCTTGTAAGTACTTTGCTGTGCCCTGACAGGGTCTACAACGGCTCTTAGCTATAAGCTTTTATTTTTAACACCACACTACCTTGTAGAACGCAAATAAATGAATATGAATATGAATATGAACTATATTGATGACGGCACTGGTTTACAAATAATTTGGAAATCCATTAAAATATAATTCGTGGAACAGCGTACACAGATTTGCAAGTACCTACCTAGTTTGTTCCAAAGACCTTGTACTTAAAACTAGACTGTGCACCAAATTTTTTTGTTTAGCTAAAATGTGCTTTATCCCGTTATGTATAGGGTAGCTATTTTCTTAAAAGCGTTAACAAACTAAAACCGGTCCAGGCGAGAGGACTCCTCACGGTAGTGTGTCCTTGTCTCACATCTTGCCAGCTCAACTAACCTTAGGGGTTGGTAGAAATGGTAGAAAATTAAATATAATTATGTTTTATGTTTTAACAAAACAAACAGTTCATAAACTACAAAACGTATATAAATGTCTTTATAGTCCTTATAATTAATAGTCAATTTGCGGTATTATACGAAAAATCATTAATACAGAGTAAACAGTAGTACTTGAATGTTTGTGTTTGGTAACAATTAATGCAAGATGGCGGTTTGCTGATTTCGGGTTAGGGTAACAATGAATTTTCTCGATCAAAGATTTTCTTACTATATCGCAGTAGATAGGCAGAAGATACGACTAACTGTTTTTGTCCTTTGTGTCCTTTTCATTTTTTATTTTATTATTTTAAAGAACTTGTTAATACCAATGATATTATAAGTAAACAGGTGTAAATAGGTTATAAGCGTCCAGTAAGTGTTACATTAAAATGTGGTGCAATGTAGAAGCAAATACGAGACGTGTAAGCTGGACGATCGTCTTTAATTAAGTGTATATATCTAATAACTTACACTACTTATGGGGAGAGATCTCACACACTACACCTTCCCCGTTTTTTAGAAAGTAAAAAATATAGCCTAAAATACATTATTTCTTATAATAAAAACTTAATAAACATTTACTTTAAATATTCGCACTGTTGACAATTACTTATATAATAGAATTTTTGAATGTTTTATAGAATTAGATAAAGTAATGTAAAAAATAATGCTTACCAAGCTTGTCAGAAAACAAAATTGTAATTATATTAATCTGAGGCTTCAACATGTGTTCAATGTAGTAAAGTATATAGGAAAAACTTTTTTTGGTAATCTCTCCTGATTTACAGAGCTTGAATATAAATAAATGCTTAATATGATAGTACATCAATGCACCCCTAAAATTAAGCACCTTTTGCCTGCCCATCCAGCATCTGACGAATCCCATGAATTGGAACTGATTTAATGTATTGATAAAAAAAACTTAAATTTAAGACAATAAAGCTACGGGAAGACTTTAAGCCTCAAGCATGTAGGAAATAGGGCTACGTTATGACAAAAATTGCGTAAAACTGTATTGTTCAGCAATGTATAAAAATAAATCAATATTAAAAGAAAACAGTCTTTTTCATTCCACAATACTGCATCACATTCATTTGCCCTAGCACTCATTTAATAATAATCCTCCTCATCATCTTAGCAAATGTTATCCCGGTTACATATGCTAAGCTTTCACCTAGGAGCTTGCCAAGGTTCGCCGAATACGATCTTGGAGTGGCGAGTCTGATAATTACAGTAAAGCGATTACCATCTGACTTTCGTAGCCACAAGGGGAATCAGACAAATTTTTCGGATAATGGTTAAACATTCAGCCAACCTCACGGTGTACTCCCTCGCCGAAATCATCATTTTCCTGTAGGTAATATTAATATGATGGTGGGAATATATCACTTTTAAAAGTAGAAAAAATTACTTTCAACCCTTACCCACGTGTACAGATTACTATATAAATACTTACTTACTTTACTTACAGGTTCTGTAGATTTAAAAAAGTAATTTTAACAAAAAAAAACGACTTCCAAAATTTATTTTTTGCTTTTTAGTTTAGTTATTTTGGAAGTCGGTTTTTTTGTTAAAAAATATTTTATTTTACCATTTTAAGTGATAGGCAGAAAAAGCTAGCATGCTTCTCGAAAGAGAAGACGACGGCTATTTGAGACCGAAAATCACGGTAATAATAGTCCTGAGTTAGTCAGCTTTGAATGCTGTAAGAGCATTCAAAGCTGAGCTGTCTTTCGTTTTCATCATCAGACCCTTACTGACATTCACTACCAATCTTTGTGCAAAGTGCTCATCAATACGAATCATTAAGCCCAAACACAAGGCAACTACTTCAAATAGTCTTCCGGCTCCATCATCAGGTCGAGTTCGAACATCGGCAAGTTGTAGCGTTGTCAAAAGCCTACTAAAACCACATGCAAAAGCACCACTCGTACCTTCAATTTTTGAAAGTTCTCAATTTCTCTGGTCTTCCATCATCAGATCCTGATTTCCTTATCATGGGACCATTCTAAAACTATCTCCTTGCCAACAAAAAAAGAATTATCAAAATCGGTTCATTAATAACGGAGATATCGGCGAACAAACATAAAAAAGCATATATATATGGTCGAATTGAGAACCATCCTCCTTTTTGGAAGTCGAGTAAAAATATACACACGTTTTGGATTGTTGGTTTTTTCTTACAAAAAATTAGGTTGATGAAGTTACGCTAGTTTGGTAGTATCAATATATCATGATACTTAAATAATCGTTTTTACAAGCAATTTGTCCCGTATTCTGTTTGGTCATGGTCACTACATTAGAAAGGGACACACTACCATCGGGAGCTGTCTCGCACCGGCTCGGTTTTTGCGCCTTAGTGCACAGTCTAGTTTAGAGTATTAGGTCTTTGGTTTGTTCTGTGACTAAAATAGTTCTGTCACTCTTGATGTTTTGTCAGGGTTGTCAGTGTCACTGTCAGTTGTCTAATGCAATAACACAATCCACATGTTTGGAGGTTACTATTACTTCTGTTGTAGATAGCTGATTAATTAGAAACTATTGTTTTTAATATTCAAAGATGTTGGAGGCACAGTATAGTGATAGCGAAGAAGAAATAAGTGTTAAGGTTAAGTCAGTACGAGTAAGTATTTTATCATTAAAACACAACAATATCGTTAAGTATACTCTTGTCGACATATCACATGATGTGACTTGTTCGTAGTTTTCAGATGTTCCACAAATAAAAACTCTTAGCAGTGATAGCAGTGAAGAAGATGAGGACTATAATTCAGACGAATACTTTCATGATTCGGATGACCCGAGTCAAAACAAAAAGAAAAGCAATGTCAACTCTCAAGCACCATCGAGTAAAATCACAACGTACCAGCCTACAGAAAAATTATTCAAGAAATTCGTTCACAAAATAAATGTTGATCAATACGAACCTATTTCAAGAAAGACAGAGAAATTTATGGACATTAATGATAGAAAACTTGATAATGAGAGGATACGAATTAAAGACAAACATGACAGAGCCACAGCTGAGCAAGTTATGGACCCTCGCACCAGGATGATCCTATTTAAACTACTTAACCGAGGCATCATAGATGAGATAAATGGTTGCATATCCACAGGTAAAGAGGCCAATGTTTACCATGCAACCTCTATGGATGGAAAAGACTATGCCGTTAAGATATTCAAAACCTCAATTTTGGTGTTCAAAGACAGAGACAAATATGTATCAGGCGAATACAGATTTAGAAATGGTTATTGTCGTTCTAATCCCCGAAAAATGGTTCGCACATGGGCTGAAAAGGAAATGAGAAATCTTGTAAGAATGCATAATGCAAACTTAAGTGTACCAGAGCCAGTAATTTTACGGAGTCATGTGTTAGTAATGTCATTTATAGGAGAAAATGGTTGGCCTTCACCAAAATTAAAAGATGTTGAATTGACCGAGTCTGAAGCCCAGACTATGTACAGAGATCTTATAAAAATGATGTGGAAAATGTTCAATATTTGTAAATTAGTGCATGCTGATCTATCAGAATTCAACCTGTTGGTACACAAAGGGAATGCAATCATTATTGATGTGTCCCAGTCAGTAGAACATGATCATCCTCATGCTTTTGAATTTTTGAGGAAAGATTGCACAAACATATCAGATTTCTTCAGGAAAAAAGGGATTGCCACATTGACAGTCAAAGAATTGTTTGATTTCATCACTGATTCTACTATAAATGAGAGCAACTTGGAAGCTTGTCTTGATAAATTGTCTGCAAAGGCCGCTCAAAGGAACCTTGATGACATGACGGCTCAGGAACAGATTGAGGAAGAGGCTTTCAAGAATATCTACATTCCTAAAAGACTGACTGAGGTGAGAAACAGCTTTTCATTATATCACAGACTTCACAATTACAATTATAATATATAACTGTACTAATTATTTTAATGAAAGCATACATAATGGTGCCAGTATTTGGTAATTGGTCTGATATTACTTACATTATTTTGGTTCTGATATTACTAGTATTGAAAATGTTTGATTTTCCAATTAAACATTTTCAAGATTTATGTATTAATATTCAAAATCTTCCCTCAATGAACTTCCTATGTTCTAACAAAAACTAATTTTCTAACAAAAGCATTTTTTTTTTGATAAATTCTACTCTAATTCCAGGTGATAAATTATGAAAGAGATATCAATAAAGCAAAGACAGGTAATGCAGAAGAATTGGCTTATAAGAAGATTGCTGGCTTCAAAGAGGATTTGTCAGCAGCGGACAAGCCTGAGATATTGCAAGAGGATATTTTACAAGAAGATGATATTAATGAGGATTCTGGTTCTGAAAGTGATTCAGAGGGAGAAAGTGGTGATGGCGAAGAAGGTAATTTGGGTTTAAGATTGGTTATATATTTTTTTAATTTATCAGATAGTGTACTTTTAATTTTTTAATGTAAGTACTTAATGAGTAAAAATTCATACACATGTGATATTCTAAAAGATATAAATAAATTCATAGTTAAAAAGTAAAACTATGCCACTACTTACTAAGATGTTGTTATGATTGGAAGAAATGGACATTTCTAATGAGCCAAATTTGTGTTTATTAGTGGGTAGCTGTAGGTTCCATTAGCCACATTTTAATTTCATCATCAAACCAAATTGATGGGATCGTATTTTTGTAGGTATAGCCATTTAATCTGTATGTAATGGGCTACATAGTTTCTTACTTACATTTTCTTACATACAACAATAAGAAGTGTGTGTAAATCGGATTCTTAGATTTCCTATATAACCTAAGAATTGAGTATTGCAAAAGGGTTTTCTACCATAATATTAGTTATTTCTACCACAATAGAAGCACAATATGCGCTCGAACGGCGTTCACTTGGGGTTTGGTGTATTAGGGCTTATTTTAGGTCACTAATACTCCAATTAGATTGTATGTATCGTGAAACTTCCACTTGCCTTTCTATTAATTCACTTTCTATGTTTTAGAAAGTGAATTAATTAATAAATTCACTGACAATTAATTTAACACAATTGTACTGACAATTAATTCTATTATTTTAACTTACAGAATCAAGAAAACAATTTAAAAACTGCGCTAGGCCCCGAGATGAATCACCAAACAGCAAGAAATTAAGAAAGAAAGCTGTGAAAGAAGAAAAAGCAGAGAAAAGGAAAACAAAAACTAAGAAACATATTAAAAAGCGACGCGACAAAGGATCAGGAAAGAGATAGATTAGATATACTATTATAAGCCAATTTTTGTTTCATCTATAAATTAATTTAAGATCTTTATTTCGACTTACAAGGGTCACTTCTCTGTGGTATTTTTTATTTTATTAAGGTCAAATTACAATAGTTGATAGTTCCATCCTGTCAACTAGGTGAACAGCAATAACTCAACATATTAATCTATAGCCAATTTTAGAAATTTTACATTTAAACACTGGTAATTCAAGACAATAAAAAAAAACAATCGGTATTCAGTTGGGGTTTGATTAAACTAAAATCAGAAGATTGATAGACACTGACAGTATTTATAATATGTTAAAGACACACTGGCTTCCGCCCGCGTGGTATGTTGACAAACAGCAGCCTGTGTTAAAACAAGGTATTACCTATATTCGAACCGTACCTACTATACCTTCAACCAAATTGGTCCAGCCGTTTTTGCATGAATGAATCTTTATATATAAAAATGGATCGCAAAATGTGTTGGGAAGCACATAACTCAACAACGCCTGGATCAATTTTGCTTATTCTTTTTTTGTTGTGTTTGTTATTGTCAGGAGAAGGTTCTTATCAAAGAAAATATTTAAAAAGTAGAAGGGAAGATTAGGAAAAAGTGACCCTTTGATAGCGAGATAGTTGGACCCGTGCGAAGCGGAGGCGGGCCGCTAGTACTAAATATAGCTCCATACATTCTCACAAACTGACATTATTAATAGTAGTAGCAGTAAAACCGAAAAGGAGAAAAAGAAAACAAGGCCTTCACTGCGCTACCTACCTAATGTTGATGTCATGAAATAACATTACTTTTCTCTTGTAAGCTGCCATAAAATTAATGATTAATTGATTACCTAAGGTGGATGTTCCGATAGGCTTTTCATACATTTTCTTTTCACGAAGGAAATAATTTTACCATTTATCTACAACGAAAAATTGTCGCACTTCTTGTTAAATAATTTAGTATATTTTTCTTTAGTTACAATTTTGTTCCGAAAATAGTAGTATTTTGATAATTTGGTTAAAAACCATTAATAAGATGTTGACTATAATGAGGTGTCTTAGTTATCTGTGCAGAAGCGAAATAGATATTTTCGTATATTATAAGATTGAAGCACATTTGTGCCTTTTATTTAAACTTAAACACAATATATTTTAGTAAGGAAGATGGTGTAAATAAAATAATTATTTTACTTGTCAATTTGTATTTTATTTTCATTTATATAAATAATAAGATAGTTTCCCTCAGAATACAGAACAATGGATAAATTATCAAATGATTTCTCGAGAGGGAGGAGTTACAGGCTTACTGACTAGGATCACCCCGTTCTTTCACATGCTCCAGGCCTAGACTGCGGCACTTGATTGCACTTGTCCCAAAACTGCAGCTGAACATCAGGCCTAGTCGGCCCCATTTGTCATGTGGTAGTTATTGGATCATTGAGGCGCGTCCGGCACGCTACGTGCCGTAGGTACACTCGGGTCTGGTTCTGGTCGAGTGGCTATTACCTATTACCTAACCCTGCTTACCTTCTGCAGACCCGTAGACCTGCTAAGTGCTGGATTAAACAACCAGAAAATTACTGAATATTAAGTTGGTTCATATAAGTTAATTTCGCTAAATAACGTTTTAAGTATCTTTCTTTTCTTTTCTTTTTGGATAAAACATTGCCCCACTTTAGGATTTTCTCCTGTGTTGTGGGTGCGTTTAAACATACAATTTCACATACACATGACACCCAAGTAAATCTCCTAAGTAGTGGCTTCCAGACATTGTATAGTTATTATGCCCTAAGTTTTGCTGTAGGGTTTCATTTTTATCACTTGAGTACTGCTAAATGAAAACAAACTATATACCTACTATATTGCCTTTTTGTAGATTTGCATTGGACCAATTTAAGAGAGCTTTGATTTCTTCTAGCAAATAGTTAGTTGGTAGGTAGGTACCTCCTGATAGGTATATTACAGTTTTACGCTTTTTAATCGCCAAAAAACAGACATAGTACGCATAAAATGTAACATCCACCTGCTGCATATTGGTTGATCAGAATTGTAAAATAAGTAGAGCTTTTAACATTTATTTATCTATCGATTTCTGTCAACTGCTTATCGATTTAAACAACCTCGTTACCCAATAAGCCTGCCTTACCGCAATTATCCGGTAATTATCAAATTATCAGCGTATGCCTTTTTCACAGAGATAGTGAGACGTTTTCGCTCACCAGGTGGCGCAAGTGTAGCGAAAAGTTTGTCCAATCACGGTTGTTTCGAAAATGTAATGTCCAATGATTTGAAAAAGCTTATTCCCTACAGCTAGTGTCTTTACAGTTCGGCAACATGTGGCACCTGGCTTGGTTATTATTCGGCTACGGCACCTTGAGAAGGCAAGACGTATCCTTAGGCTTGGGTTTACCAGTGCTTAGTGTGTAGATTAGTTCTCCACTTCACAGAAACATAAGATATGCCTATTTTATTATATTGGGCACGTGTCCACAGAGGACTCAAAGGAGACATAGTCTTCCTAGATGATCGGGTTTAGCTATTCTCACAATAGAGATTTCGGAGCTGGTGCACGAAGAGGAACCAGTGCCTCTTTAAAGATGCTAATGGTGGTGGTGGTCAGAGAGGTGTTTTAGTAAGTTTCCTATTACTTCCTCTTCAAAAATTATTTAGCTTAAAGAATCACCGTCAAAGAACCACGTCGTTTAAAAATCAGTACCAAAGGTAACATTACTTTTAAATAGGGTTATCTACCTAATGGACCACTCTAGGAGAGTGCCTAAAACCAGATGCATGATTATGATGGAAGTATGAGTACCACCTGTGTACTTACTTACCATTTTTTTAAAAGAAGATAATTATTCAGTTCCTTCTTTCTCCTATCCTGACAATGCGAGAGGTTTTGGTAGGATTTTACTGGCTGAAATCCGTCACGTTCCATCCCCTGCTCGCAGCTCTGCTGGACTACCTATGGTGTATTATTGATTGCGTTTTGCCCGCAATTATGGATTTTTTTTTCTACTTATCCGGACAAGTCTGCACTTGAGTTTTACCTACTCAGATTCGACAAAATGTGTTTCCCGAAACATAAAGTGCTGGCCTCCGGGTAAACCAATATTTTGTAGTTAATTGCGAACCACTAAGCCTCGTTCCGTTCCATTCAGATCTCTGACTATAAAATTAACGTAAAGGTAGGTACTCAAAACGGACAACATTTTTCATCAATTTTTAGCTGCGATACCTTGCAGTTGTATCTTTAGCTTTTTATGTGATTGCGCAATAGGTACGCAATAGTACCTACCTAGGTACATAATGGTATAAGTGTGTAATGTTGGTGATCACCGCTGAAGCGCATTGAGGCGAGGGTCTCAAAGAACTGAGGACGGTAAATATCAATACACACGTGTACCATACGACGTTTTTCAAGTTGTTGAAAATTTCAACAAACTTCAGAATAAAATAATACTTACTTACTTAAATAAAAAAACTTCAAAAGAGAAAACGAGACGAGTTTAGAAAAATTTTTGCAATGGCGGGAAAAATTTATCAGTTACCTTATGCGCGCGCATCGGCCATAGACTAAAAAATGAGGTTTCTTTTTTGGGCTTTTTGCAGATAACATTTTAACGCAAGCGTAAGCGTAACTAAACCAATAATTTTAAAACCTCTGCGCCATGCGGGCCGGTACGGACCTCGCTGAAACGTGTCGTCTGGTGCAGCAAGACGTGGGCGCCGTAGTTAAATGGTCCCATGATGACGGCATAGTATTAAATACGGATAAAACACAATACATCATTATTCATTCACCTTACTTACCACTAAAGGATAATTCTCCACCACTATACACTCATACATTTGGTTGCATTCATGGTGGCATTGTCAATTGTGGCTGCAAACCTATCCAGAGAGTAAGTTGTGTAACTTACTTAGGAGTTAAAGTCGACGAGCATTTCTCATGGAAAGTACATATAGATTTCTTGTGCAATAAACTTAAAACTGTACTAAGTAAATTTTATCACCTAAGTTATCGAGTTCCTACTAGTACCCTAAAAATATTATACTACTCTGTCAAGAAAGTACCGGGAAAAAGTCAATAATACACAAAATGTTTGTTATTCACCTAAATTTATTTTATCACCTTCAAAGTATGCTCCTTCAGAAACGATACACTTACGCCAACGAATAATCCAATCATCGAAACTTTTTTTAAACGCTGTTTCCGGAATTGAGTTCAGTGCTCGCCGCGAATTCTCCTTTATGTCTTCTAACGATTGAAAACGGGTGCCACGAAGGGGTAATTTAAGTGTGGGAAAAAGAAAGAAGTCGGCTGGAGCCATATCTGGTTAATATGGTGGCTGCTCGATGGTGTTTGTTGAGTGTTTGGACAAAAAATCGTTTACAATGATGGCCTTATGCGAAGGCGCATTATCGTGATGCAAAATCAAAGAATTTTCTTTCCACATTTCTGGCCTTTTTCGTCGAATTTGTTCTCTTAAACGCCGCATAACGCTCAAATAATATTCTTTATTTACCGTTTGACCTTCGGGCAAGAATTCTGAGTGCACAACACCGCGATAGTCAAAGAAAACAGTCAACATGACTTTGACTTTTGATCGACTTTGACGTGGTTTTTTCGGTTTTGGTTCAGTTGGAAGGCGCCATTCCGAAGCTTGTTGACTAGTTTGCATGTCAAACTCGTAAACCCACGTCTCGTCACCAGTAACAATGCGTTTCATGAATGTTGGGTCGGTATTGACTCGTTTTAGCATGTCCTCAGCGACTTTCATGCGATTTAGTTGTTGAAGAAAATTCAGGTCTTTTGGGACTAGCCGAGCGGCAACACGTTTCATACCCAAATTATTTGTTAAAATGGTACGGATCGACTCGTGAGATACAGAAAGTTCGGCGGCCATCTCTCTCAAACTTGAATGAGGATTTTCAGTCACTATTTCCTTCACTTTTGCGATGTTAACTTCATTTGCAGACGTTGATGGCCTACCAGAACGAGGCAAATCTTCCATCACATCTCGACC